CTCCAGGCAGTGGGGTCTGCCACCTCCGGGACAAAAAACAGAGCACATGAAGGTCCGGAGGTCCCCAGACCCAGGTCCGGGGACCTGAGGGTGTCCCTGAGGGGTACAGAGGGGTGAGCCCTGCTGTAGGATGGGGCTCCTAGGAGGGAGGCAGCATGTCCCCTGTGGGTGCTTGCTCCTCGCACAGCAGGTGCCAGCAGTCTGGGTTCGGTGTCTGTCCCAACCTGTGCTGGGCGGGCAGCTGCCTATGGATGGGCATGGTGGCCTCTGGGATGGCCTCCTGACCATGACCACGCAGACCTGCTGGGTGTGAGGATAAAGGGCCGGCCTGGGTGGACCCTGTGTCTCCATGTCTGTGCTTGTCTCCTCCCAGGGAAGGAGAGTTCATGGTTGAGGTCGTCGCCTTCAATGCCGTCAGCACCGTCTCCCTGAGGAAGCGCCTTTTCGTCGTGCGCAGGCCCTGCCAGCCGCCCCCTGTGAAGAACATGGGGCCGGGGCAGGTGCAGGTCAGGCCTGCAGTCACTGACCAAAGTCAGCCTTTCTCCGGGGGGCGGGGGGGAGCGAGTAGGGGCGCTCCTCCAGATCAGCCCCCTGCGTTGGCCATGAGGGCACCTGGGAGGGCTCCCAAGGTCCCGGAGTCGACCGGCCCCAGGGAGGGACACACCTGCCCCAGGCCTCTGAGTCTGCCTCCATTCGCCCGTTACTCTGGGTTCGGCTCAGTGCATGTTGACGAGCTGGTGAGACCCCTGTGCTAGGAGCTGGAGCGTGTTCAGGAGAAAGGAGAGCTGGGAGGTGGTCATTTGCTTGGTGAGCACCTACTGTGGGGACAAAACTAGGGCTGCTTTCTAGTCCTTTTACTCCTGGAGGCTTCTGACTTGGAGCAACTTCTCCTTTTTAGGGTCAGAGTGCCCACACGCAGACGCACGGGAGCCCCGTGGCGTGGCCGCATTTGCCAGGAGCTCTCCGTGGCTTCTAGCAGAGGCTGGTTGCTGGGCCCGAGTCTCAGGTTGAGCACCTCCCGCCCTGATGTGGCCACGGAGATGAGGAGCACAGACACGCCCAGGGCCAGGCCAGGGCCCGTGGCCTTTCCATGGGATTCTCCCTCCGGGTCCTGAGTCCCAGGACCTCACAGCTCCCTGGGGCCCGGAGAAGCCTGGCTCACATGCCAGCCTCTCAGAGCCGACTCCCACCCCAGACATTGCCTAGTTTTGTCTGTTACGATCACTGGGATAAGAATCAGCATCTCAGTGTCAGGTGCCCACAAATCTGGGCTGTGAAGTGACAATGCTGGGATCACTCATATCCAGGATAGAAACGATAAGCACAAAGGAAAGTCATTTCGATAATGACCAGAGTCACTTAAAGAAAGCCGAAGGTAAAATGGTTTGCAACAAATACGCATGCGTTGTTTAAAGTCCTACTTCCCAGCTCCAGACTGGATTCTTTCCAGTTTCCACGGGAGAGCATCACTAAACATCCTCCAGGGGGCGCCCTGCGCCTGTGGCCAGCGTGGGCGTTCGGTCCCCTGGGCAGGATCTGCACTGGCACTGCACCTGAAGGACAGTCCCTTCCTCTCAGTGCTCCAGACGCCCATGGGTGTGGGGCTGGGGGAACGGGGGCTCTGCCCAGCCCTGGTCTCTGAAAGCTTCAGTCGCCTCCGAAGGCCCTGCAGCTCTGCAAGTCTTGGCCAGCCTCTATCTAATAAGGCGTGTGACGTGCTTCCAGGGTAACAATACCAGCATCACCACCAGAAATAACACTCCTTAGAGAGCTTTCAGATGTATCTGGAAAAGTCCCTGTTGCCCTTAGACTAGAGCAAGCATGTCAAACTCACAGCCTGTGGGCCACACACCGCGTTCATTCAGCCCGTGTTAGCCTAGATCAAGGTCACTGAAACACATCTTCTTTCTATGGTACTTGTTTGAAATGCAGGTACTTCCTTTTGTTTCCAGTGATCAATCGCTCAGTTTTCTGTTGGAGACTTGGAAAAGTTTCTACTGATTTTAAATATTAACCCTGTCATATATTTTGCAAATGATTTCCCTTTTCTCTGATTGCTTTTTTAAATAATACTTTTATATTCAAAGTTTAACATTTTTATATAATCAAATCTATTGACCTTTTCCTTTCATATTTTCCCATTAACTCATGTTTATAGGGGTTTTTCTCGTCGAGTGTGTAAGTCTTTATTCTCACTGACTGTGATCACACAGACACAGAGTTGAAGTCCTGCGTCTTGAACCACTTCCTCTGGAACAGGTAGACGCATTTCTAATGAGACGTCTTTCTCCTCACGCAGGTGTGGCGGTCCCAGCCTGTGACCCTGGGGGTGACCTTCGAAGCCGCCATTCTCTGTGACATCTCCCAAGGCCTCTCCTACAGCTGGAGCCTCACCAATTCCGTGGGGTCGCCGGTGCCCCTGCCTCCTGCCATCAGCACCCACAGGCAGACCTTCACTGTCCCCCACTACTTCTTGGAACCTGGAAACGACACTGCGCTGGCCCAGGTGGGCGGCAGCTGGAGGCGGCACCTGCCCAAGCCCATGTTCCCTTCCCATCAGCCTCAGAGACCCTGGGACCCGGACCGGCCCATCCCAGAGGAGGGTGCTCTTAAATCCCTGGCATTCCTTTAGGGCCGTGATATGTTTGGGGTTAGAAAGGGAGCTTAAGGGTAAGCTAAACAAAACCAACACCATGGGAAAATGTACTGTTGGCAGAGAGGTTATAGACCAGGGAATAGTTGGGTGTTCTTATGTCCCCAGACCCAGAACCCCAGCTTCATGTTAACACAGACACGGAGAGGAAAATGCTCCTGCACCCCAGCCCCTCTGTCCCCAGTGGGCCTCCTGCTCCTGTAGCCCAGCCCCTCTGTCCCCAGTGGGCCTGCTGCTCCTGTCGCCCAGGGAGGGAGGACCTGGGAGGGAGCCCCAAGGGAAGAGAAGTTTCCAGAAGCAGAAGGTCCTGCTGCAGGAGCCAGGAGACCAGCCTCCCCAAGGACAGTGTGGCCAGAGGCCCAGCAGGGCCCACCCCAGGGGTCCCCGGGGCACCAACGCCGGACCCACCAACTCGGGGCCTTGCTCTGAGCCCCTCTCCCCTCACACCCACCCCCTGGCAGCCCCCAAAGACACTCTCCACTTGGCCAGCACCCCGGCCACCCCCCCTCCCTCTCCCCCTCCTGCTGGGCCATGGGCACTAAGCTGCCCCCCAGGACACGGACACACACACATGTGCACACACACATGTGCACACACGTAAGCACACACGTGCATGCACAGATAGACATGTGTGTGTGCGCACAGGCACGATGGGAAAGACAGGCTCCCGCGTGTCCTCACCTTTTAAATTGCCAGCTGCCCCATAAGCCTAAGTTGCCCTCATCCTGAGCTAATGCCCCAGGGCCCTGGCTGCCCTCACGGCCGGCACTGTTGTTGCTATGGGTCCTAATTGTTACACAGTTTAGAGGATAGCAAGATTTTTATAAATCCACTAAAGGCCCAGTCCTGAGCACACGCTCGTTCCCTACCTGAGCAGCACACATATGTGTGTGCGCACAGGCACGATGGTAGAGACAGGCTCCCGCGTGTCCTCGCCTTTAAAATTGCCAGCTGCCCCATAAGCCTAAGTTGCCCTCATCCTGAGCTAATGCCCCAGGGGCCTGGCTGCCCTCACGGCCGGGCACGTGCCTCCCACAGTTGTCCCCACAGCGGGCGGTGGCCTGCGCTCCCCTTGCAGAGACCAAAGGCTGCCCCCCAGTGTACAGCGACCCCCAGCCCCCGCCCTGCTGGCACAGGGTCCTGCTGGGTGGGGGCCAGGCTGTACCTCCGGCCTCCTGCCCCGCCTGCACCCCTCCCCTCCTCCACTGCCACACCCCCGTCACGGTGACATCCTCTGCCACACCCTGGGACTGTGGCGTTGACTCAGGCCTCCATCAGCAGCTTAGGGGATGCATACACACACACACACAGACACACACACACGTATGCACATCCTCACACTCTCACACCCTCAGCACCGCCTCGCTCACGCTCACACATGCGCTCACACACTAACA